TCTGCCTGAGTACTTGGCAAAGAAGATACCCCGTCATATGCTTTAGTCATGTCCAATTTTAATATAACATTACCATATAGAGATGGTTCAGTTATATTATGGACTATGTCTTGAGTGAGCATAATATTTTCTGTGATAGACATTCCTCTAATGAAACCTGTCTGGTTAGGAGAAACCAGTTTCTGCATCAATGGGCTTAGTCTCTGGTTCAGCAACTTGGATAGAATCTTGCATGAGAAGTTACTAAGACTAATAGGTCTTAGATCTGTGAAGGACTAAGGATTGTCCACATTTGGTAATAAAATTAGGAATGTGTGAGTCAATGCCTTTGGTAATAGACATATCACTGACAGCCCCTTCCTTCGTGAATAAATTCTAAGAAAAAGAGACAGCTTCCCTAGAAATGTCATCATCACCTTCAATCCATGTACCATACTCTTTTTTAATCTTCTTCAGTGTTAGTCTTTTTTTTCTTCCTTTGACTACAGAGTAAAAAATATTGAGTTAACTTCACCCTCCACAAACCATTTTACACCTGATTTTTGCTTCCAAAAGGACTCTTCCTTCTTGTAAGCTCCGATTAGTATTGCATTAGCCTGGTTTAGTAAAGCCCTGTTGTTCTCAGAATTATCGATAATGGTGTTATCTTCCAATTCAGTCATTGTGTATTCCAGTTCCTTAATCTTGTCAAAGATGTTGCCAACAGTATTCTTGGATCACTCTGATAACTGTCTACTAGTATTCTTTAACTTCAAGTGGAACCTCCACATTGGAGATCCCTGGACCTCTATATTCCAGGCTTGTTCCACCACACTTTTGAAATCAACTTCTTCAACCCAGAAGTCAAGAAACTTGAAATATTTAATTGGATCCTTCTGATTATCTTGGCAATGAGGAGAATGATCTCTGTTCTAATCAAATGGTTAGCATTAGTAGAATCAAACAAGTTCATCCATTCATGATTGACAAGGATTCTGTTTAATCTCTTCCATATCCTTTTACTAGGACTCCAACCATTACACAACGTAAAGATAGATCCAGAATACCTAGGATCCAATAGCTCATAATCCATGATACACTCCAAGAAAGTAAATTTTTAGATATCCTGTGAGTATTGCCTCCCCTTTTTCACAAGGGTAAGAGATACAATTAAAATCACCCGCAATGTGCCATGGTAACTTGTAAGTGTTGAAATGTCAAATATTCCAGCTTCCCACATCGGTGGGTTAGCAATAGTTGGGGGGATTTTTCCCCTATAAAAGAAGGCTTAATGTTTAGGATTTAAAACACACCTCTCATTTGCCTTCTCATCTGTTTAAGGCATCTTTATCTTCTCTCTTTAGTATTATTTCACTTGTATTTTTGGAGTGGAATAAAATATTGGTTGTGTCCGAGGAGTAGGCAAAATTAGCCGAACCTCGTAAATTTTGGTGTTTCCTTTATTGTTGTTTTATTGTCTTATTTATTATTTGGTGGCTGTCATAATTTTGGTATAGTAGTTGTGACTTATTCACACTATATACATTTGGCTTCCGCAACAATTGGTATCAGAGCCAAGGTACTGTCTAAGTATGCTCTGTGGTTGCAGCATAGTCTGATCTTCCACATCAGAAAAGATTTATCTTGGTAACTGAGTCAAGGTTCTGTCTGAGTATGCTCTGTAGTTGCAGCTTAGTCTGATCTTCTACATCAGAAAGGAAATAATCTTGATTTGTGTCGTCAGCTATTAAATAATATTTGTGTCAAATATGGGAGACAATAAACAAGAAGAATCTACATCAAGTGTCAACAATACGTCATCATTGGCATCTTCGCTTATGACAAGAATTGTGTCAAATGCGAAATTTGCGGTAGAAATATTTGACGGGTCCGGACATTTTGGGATGTGGCAAGGCGAGGTTCTAGATGTCCTTTTTCAACAAGGGCTAGATCTGGCCATTGAAGAAAAGAAACCAGATGTTATTGGAGAAGAAGATTGGAGAATTATCAACCGTGTTGCTTGCGGTACCATTCGATCCTACCTTGCTAGAGAGCAGAAATATCCATACACAAAGGAAACTTCTGCAAGTAAATTATGGAAAGCACTGGAGGATAAATTTTTGAAGAAAAACAGTCAAAATAAATTGTACATGAAGAAGAGACTGTTTCACTTCACCTATGTTCCTGGTACCACGATGAATGAACATATCACCAGTTTCAATAAGTTGGTCACAGATTTGCAAAATATGGATACAACTTATGATGATGGTGACTTGGCCTTGATGTTGTTGGCGTCACTTCCTGATGAGTACGAGCACCTTGAAACTACTCTACTCCATGGAAATGACGAAGTTTCTCTCAGAGAAGTTTGTTCGGCTTTGTACAGCTATGAACAAAGAAAGCGAGAAAAACAGAAGGGCGGAGAAGGAGAAGCACTATTTGTGAGGGGTCGTCCTCAAAATCAAACGAGGACAAAGAAGGGAAGATCCAAGTCAAGATCCAGACCCAGCAAAGATGAATGTGCCTTTTGTCGAGAAAAAGGGCACTGGAAGAAAGACTGTCCGAAGTTGAAGAATAAGGCCAAATATAACAATGGAAAGGCCATTATGGATTCAAATGTAGCTGATTGTGATGATTCAGACTTCTCATTAGTTACAACAGAGTCATCAACATCATCAGACATATGGTTGATGGACTCGGCTTGTAGCTATCATATGTGTCCCAACAGGGACTGGTTCGTGGAATTTCAAGAAGGAGAATATGGAGTCGTCCACACAGCGGATAATAGCCCTCTTATCTCATATGGCATTATTTCAATACGATTAAGTAACCATGATGGAATGATCAGAACATTGACAGATGTTCGATATATACCGGATTTGAAGAAAAATCTCATCTCTGTGGGAGCCCTAGAATCAAAAGGGTTCAAAATCATNGTTGTACCAATCAGCAACATCTGCTTGATTGTCCCACAATTTCTCCCTCTGCTCTGCACCATATTTAGCATACATAGAGGAAAAAAGTAATGACAAACCATCCCATTTGACTAAGCATGTGACTTGTTGCTCGGTTGCATCCACAATACTACAATCAATCAGAACATCTCAGAAAATTCAGATTTGGCTGTTGCAGTTGGAGAAAGCATTCTTCATACCAAAAATTCTTTTATACTTGTCCAATTGGTTAGCTTTACAGAAAGGTTCATTTAAAGCTACAAAAGAAAGTTTTTGAAATCTGATTAGTTGTTTAAGTCTCTCAAGAGCGCCGCTAGAATTGATGCTCCATATGTTCCAGAATAAAGACTTAATCATAAAACTAATTGGATAAGTGATGTTCCTGTGATGTTCTCACAAGTTGTTGATTGAGGTGTCTGCCACCTCTTCCTCTTGTTGATGTTCTTCCTCCTCTGTTGTTGCCTCTGCCTCTCCCTATACCTTTATGAGATAGGTGTGCAGTATTGATGACATTGACAAATGTTGAGGTTACATTTATATCCACCAATGAGTCTGGACAAAATTAGGTTTGCACCAGTCTATCTACATGCTCGGCACTATCAATTTTTTTATTGTCAACACTTGCATAATTTGCACTGGACTCTGAGTTTTCTTTAGCCTCATAACCTGACTCCTCTGAGTTAACTACTTCTCTAGTGTCTATTTCACCTGGTTCAAAAGCAAACTCATCCTCACCTGGGTATAGGTTTGGATAGGTGAGATGTCGATGTTTGGTTATTTGGATCTGGTGGGGTAGGTAGTTGTATAGGGGGTGGGTCATTAGGATCCATGTTACTTTTTAGCAGATTTTAGAGAGAAGTTAGAGAGAAGGGAGAGCTTGCTACATTCTACCAAGCAGTGTAGGTGTCATAGCCCGATTTAAATGTTCCTCCAATGGTGCAAGATTAGCATTTGAATTTTCACAATGTAACTTGCTCATTGTGAAATTGTTAGTTTTGACATAAATCATTTAGAGTAACATCGCTACACATAGACACAAGTTTATTCTATATTTAATTTCATGCATAACATGTCATATGCAACAAAGCCTGCGAATTTGATATGAATATGCATCTGAAAGTATACAACAACGACAACGGCCCAGTATAATCTCACAAGTGGGTTCTGGGGAGGGTAATATGTATGCAGACCTTACCCCTGTCTCGAGGGGCAGAGAGGCTGTTTCCAGGAGACCCTCGGCTCAAAAAAGCAACAAGAAATGATATATTAGTACTATCAATAGACTCATAATAAAATAACATAACATAACATAAAATAAAATAACAAAATAACAGCAATATAAGAAATATAGGAAATATGAAAAAGATGGAAGGTATAATAATATCCAGCAGATAAAGCCCTGCATCAGTAGTTGACCAAGTGCATCCTAAGACTAACTCTTAACTGACTAGTCACACTCTAGTGCGCTGTAGAAATATTTACAGTATTCCCCCTAACTTACAACATTAATGCTCAACCTCCACAATTCCTATCAAGGGCCATGTATCTGAAAGTATGTGAATAAAAATCAACTGATGATCCTGCTAAATATATTATATAAATTGCCGGAAGAAGGGTAATAGTATATTCGTGACTGAAATTACATATTAAAGTTGTTTAAAGATGCAGTATGGATATTTTAAGTTTCAATAATGCTACGCCACAAGACTGCTCAAGTTGTTTGTTGCATAGCTCAACTGTTTTTTAATATAGAATTCTAACCAAATTTAGAATTTTAACAAAAATAATTAATGCCTACTACTCTGAGTTATTAAATACTCTTTTTATATTACACAAATTCATCACAGGTATTAGAAGTAAAGATAAACTGCCCGATTTAAATGGTGATCCACATAGCATTTCATCTTAGTCATATAGTAGCTCTTCGGCTGTTCATACTTTATTGTCAAAATATATATATTTTTCAATTGAACTTTTGTTCTTTAAGAATAAGTACTTTTCTATTGAACTTATTACATGCTAAATTTTATTTCTGATATTAACATCTTAAAATTTCTTTTTCTGCAGGTGATGTTGTGCCACTCTCAGTATTTTGCTTGACGAATGTGGAGAAGTGGGACAAATTCAGGAATATAGACATGGATAAGGAGGTTATTATGTTTTCCTGTTTCCGTAAAGTGTATTTACTTCCTAAAAACCTGGCAAAATTTCACGCCTCTTAAGAAATAATAAATGAAATGTATAATTTATCATGTTATCCATATTAGTTGATGCATATTTTATTAGATTTGAGAAAGTGATTTGAAATGGTAATAAATATTGTGGGTAAAATAGGAAAAATTTGTTGTCTTCTCTTGATATGCATAAAGTGCCAAGTAAAAGTGAACATCTATTTTTAGTATATATGCCAAGTAAAAGTGATGGGAGGGAGTATTAAAAACTATGACTTCTTACGACGCTATGTATTTTCACCCCCTTCTTTTTTTGATAAGCATGCATTATTTCCTTTGGTTTTCCTGGCGAATGATTTCCTTAGGACAATTTAGCGATGTGAAAGGCCTGTTGTTACTTCATAGTTAAATTGAACTACTTATTAAAGCTTATTGATTAATAATTTTACTATATGAAATTCATGATTAACTCTTGATGTGGTATGTCTTCACCCCTCGTGTCAAAAGTTTGCATTTTTATTTAATTCAACGTAGTGGCGCTCTTTCTTGGAATTTGACTTGTGATGTTGCAAAATTGTCTTATGGTCTTCTATATGCTCTTATTTGGTTAGGCTACCATAATGGATGCTCTTGAAGGCAAAACATCGAAGCGAAAAAATTGCGTGGATAATGATAAGGTTGCGGTGTTGACTGCATGGCATATAGTGGATTGTCGAACACTTCGACGTAACTTTCTCCCTGAATTGGTCAGCCGCGATGAGGTATTATTCCTGAGAATTATTGGCCTATTGGGCCCCTTGTCTTCAATTTGTTCTTCTGTATGCGTTGTTCTTATGCAAATGTTATTCAGCTATTTTGCATCTGTTATTATTCTGAAGATGTTGCAGCAAACACCGACTTGATATGTATTAAGGTTCTGATAGAAGTTTAAGCTCGTTGAGCCTCCAAGGGAGGTGGCCAGTGATTGCTGAGTTGAAGTGACAACCTTGGGAACCCATATTCGAGTTCCGATAGAGGCGACAATGAGCTCTTCTCTAAGTATCTAAGTTCATGGGGAGAGTTACCTCATAGTTGTGCCGGTAGGACTTAGGAGATAGCAGGTACCCCACGGATAGTCGAGGGCGCACGCTGGGCCGAACACCCATTGTTATTAAAAAAGAAAATTTAAGCTTGTTCCACGGGCTAACTGGTTTAATTTACCTTGGGATTACTGGATCTGCAAAATAATCTACATGCTCATGTGAAACAACTTAGATGTCTACTCCTTCGTACTCGAGTTGGAGATTAATGTAATAGGAAGAAATAACATGGATTTTCTTTTAGGCTTGGCTATAAACTATAGTTTGGGTGTGGGGAATGGGTCCATCCTTGCTGTAGCATTAACAAGAGGTTTTGGATATTTTACTGTAGCAATGTGTCCGAGCATTTGTGGAGAGTGGTGATGGAGAGGTGCTTGTGCTACGGGTTCAAGACCCCTTCCGTCGGTTATTGCTGCATGGTGTTTGTGAGGTATGCTTTGCGAAGCTAAAGGAATTGACAACGCCGGTGAAGCCCTTTAAAGTATGTTATGAAGCTAAAGGAATAAATGTCACAGTTGTAGGTCCCTATGTTCCAGTTATTGATCTTGTATTAATATTTGGTGTTGCATCAAATAAAATTGTTCTAAGAAGAATTTCAGCCTGTGCATTTAGTTCCTGATAAGGGGGATATGGGAAGTTGGAGGAAGAGAGGAAGTATCGCTAAAGCAACAAAGTCACATTTGCCAAGCTTTTTATGCCAATAAGGAGCCAAGGCACAATGAGCACTTCAACAAATAGGATCCTGAAAAGTTTTGTTTAAAAAAAAATATGTGGAAGAAGAGAAATAGGTGAGATATCTAAGAAACTTCAGTTATACAAACATATAGATGTTTACATATGCAGTTGTCGTTATACAAAGATATGATGAATACTATCTATATAACTGTGGCTTCAATTCAGTACCACATTTTCAGTGACTATGATTTGCTCGAACACAATATTATACGTGCTCCCAGTAGATTCAAGTGCTAGCAAATTACCTCATTGATTCCACGCTTTGGGCAAAAGAAACGACTATAAAAATCAAAGCCAGAACCTTGTGGAGCAGGTCCAGTTATTATTATTTCTCTGCCAGGGCAATTCTTTATTTGATCAAACTGAGGTTGGCATTCGGCCACTGCCTCCCCTGATGGGAGTAAAATCTGTAAAAGCACCATGAATTATCTTCATTTCCCTAAATTTTACTAACTTTATCTAGCATCCCTTCCTCCTGAGTTTGAAAGAAATGTTTTTTTTTCCAAAAGAACGAAACAAAAATGCTTTCTTGATTGCCTTTAGGCTTGGGTATAAACTATAGTTTGGGTGTGGGGAATGGGTCCATGCTTGCTGTAGCATTAGGAGTACTGTGCCAAGCCAAGTTATGTACTTCATTTGTTATGTACAAATGTTTCCCTTATGGAATCATCTAGGTGTTGCATCAAATAAAATTGTTCTAAGTTTTATGGTTCAACGGATAAGATGTCAAGTACAGGAATTATTCTGTTGCTTTTAATAAGTATCCAAACAAAGAAAAGGATTTGAAAAAGAAGAAACGATCCGATTTTGCTGCGAAAACTACAAGAAATTAGACCTATGACGACACTTTATAAGTGTCGTATTTAGTTAAATAAATGTCACTAATTCATTAACCGACATTTATTTTACATTTAGCTTAAATGTCGGAAATTTTGGGATTGGAAATTTTTTGACATTTAATTAAATGTTGGCAAAAGTTTTACGACATTTATTTTACGTCATTTAGATAAATGTCACATAGAAATTTACCACATTTGAGCTAATGTCACTAAATAAAGAGTGACATTTATTTCTAGACTTTTATTAATGTCAGCGCATGAGTTTCAAGCACATTCTGTTTTGTTTCCAACATATTTAGAAGTGTCCATGTTTACATGAAGCCATAATCCAAATTCAAATTGTATATCCTACAAAAGTAATCCACTATAAACAATATAAACTGAAATCAATATTTTGAAGAAAGAAGTTCTCAATATCTAATAGAATAATTCTCAGGAATAATACCTCATAGCGTAAAAAGGACATTACCGTAAGAAGCTTAGACTCTCGACGTGCTAATTAGGACTCCATATCATACACCAAAAGACTAAGTACATGTCATGAATAATTTTATTTTTCAGCCTGACAGCATGACCACCGAAAACTGACGAGAGTTGCCTCATATATTCATATAATTGGCAACAATTGGCAACAATGTCATTCTCCACACGAACAACATATTCCCTACCAATCAATCAACTGAATTTCTTTGAAGGAAAACACCAGTAACATTAAATCTCTGATACATTAAATTTAGATTATGACTTACTTATTTAAAGCAAGATGGACAATTTAACAAAATTAACCTTAATGCTTTATAGAAAAAAAATTAGCTTTAGTGAATATGTGAAAGCACATTACAAAAGTACCACAAAATTTTGAGAAAGTACCAAATGTGTAGGCAAACGACCTCATCAAAACCGTATCATAAATCTCTAAATATCGTAATTAAGCCATATAAGATTATTAATAAAAAAAAGAAGAAGTTCATATATGAACGATTTGAAAACAAAGCAGATACATGGTTACAACAGAGAACGAGAGATCTAAACAGTAAAGAGAAAGGGAATTCTCGTATTGCATCTTTCTCCCTCCACCATGACGCCAAAGGCAGAGAAGAAATCACAGGCCAGCAATAAGCTATATTATGAATGGTGGAACGTTCCACTGCGGTTGAGGAGAAGAGATTGCAGCCGCAAAGGGTGAAGGAGACCTAAAAGAATTAGGTCTTCACGGAAGCCGCTGTACAATTGGAGATATAGTTTCTACATTTAAATTTTTTGAATACGGTAAATTCCCCACTATTAATTGGAAAGGTCATTTACCAGAAGAAAAAGGGGCCAAAATTCTAATACAAAATTACAGTGCAATAAAAGGTGATTCATATCCTTCTTATGTTTTCTGCACAAGCAACACCAACTCACAAAATAGTGTATTTTCACTTCTAACCAACAGTGGTATTGCCTGTCTAAAAGCTTATACTCATACTAATTAGTCATTTTTACAACACAATCATTTGCTCACCACTTACAGCTAAGCTGAACGCAACCACGCTAACATTAGCAGTTGGCATAGAAACTTCAACAAGTCAAGGTCAGATAGAAATCACGATTCCTGTTTCACACATTATTAATAACTAAAGAAATGCTAGTGCACATTGTCTGAGCACAAAATATTGAAATACATGTGGATTACAAAGGAAACATCAAGCATAACACTTGATATGATCATTATGCATCAACAATATCCCTACAAGTGGGAAGAGTTAAGCCAAGTGATAACTTCATACCAGAAAATGCAAGAAGAAGAGGATGACATACTAGCTATAATCTCCATTATCCAGAATAAAAGAAAGGTAACAACAGTAGTAGTAGTAGTAGTTTCACACCTTCGTCAGTCCTACTTAGAACATACAACACCAGCAACCCCAAAGACCAGTGGAATCTCACATGTCATAGTAGACTCATAAGCATGCTTCAAAGGATTCAGCAGCATTGGACTCGTCAAGCATTTGAACAACTTGAGCAACACCAGCTGCAAGTTCCTTCTGAATGGCACCATCAGGCATATCAAATGTTCTCCTCCTAGCAACCGATATAGGCCTCCCGCCAGGTTGGGGGTCGATAACATCAAGCATTGCTTCTAACTCATCCACCATTGACTTCTTTGAAGATCGCACCATTATATCGGCACCCTAATACAGAAGGAAAATAGTACGATAAATGCATTTTTGGAATAAAAGCAAGAACACTAAAAATGGTTGAGAGCCAAAGATCGCATAACACATTGCAAATATGGAGAAGATGTGATCTCATTATATGCAGACAATTGATGTCATCAACAAACTCCGTATGGATTTTGTAGAGAAAATAAATATAGTGGATGATAAAATTTCTGGTTGCAGTAGGCATCATTTCATGCTCATCTACCAAAATACAGACCCAACGTAATTCTGCGGATGTGAGGAAGCTACAGCACAACTAGCTGAGAGGTCAGCAAATTCTTGTTTCCCGGCTTCAATTCCAGGAAAGACGGAAGCATAGTAATAAATAAGCTGCATCCTTATTTAATCCATTACCACTGCCTATCTAGTCAGATAAAGCAAATAATGTACATTCTGAAGTTACCAGGAAAATCTAAAATGGAAAATGCATAACAAAAATAGAAGCACAAACTGGTCTAAAAAAGTAATTGTACCAAAGGTCGTGTTTATGTTGTTCCAAAGTCAGGCCCAGGCTTCCTATCTAATGCCTCTCTTATTGATGAACTATATGTACTGAAAACCATCCGATACCCCCAAATCCAACAGAGTTGAAAAAGAAATAAGAACAAGAAATGGAGAACCACTAAAAACAGGGAAGTTGAAAGGCCACTTCCGGGGATCAGACCATGCAACAACTATTAAACATCTGAGAACTATAGAAGGTAACCACTTCAAAGTTGCAGAATTCTAGTACTCTATCCACTCCAATTTATTGATTTCTTTCAGTTTGAGACGTTCCAAAATGTTTGACACAACTCAATTAACATTATTTCATAAAATTTTCACAGCTTTCAAAAATCCAAATACATCTAACAATTCAAATTATAAAATTTGATGTGATGTTTTCTATCAGAGTAACTCTTCAACTGTACTTCATAATTTCTTCCACAGTTACTAATGTAACAAACTAACTCAAATCAATATCCTTAATTTAGTATCAAGTCATACGTCACGACATAAAATATAATGAAGCAGAGTAAGTACGATTTAGATAGCTAAAACCCGCTAAGCTAATTGATACAAACGACTTAGATAGCTAAAACCCAATAAGCTAATTGATTCAAACGACCAGCAACAAGAACCTATGTATAAACGTTTAATGAGAAGTCCGACTACAGGAAAGATAACACGAAATATGTATACCTCAATGGCGTCAACAGTGAGAAGCAGCACAATAATCTTCTCAGAGAACCTCTGACGCTCCTCAGCATCACGGGCAACACGACGTCGGTAAGTGAAGTTGTTGAATAGAGCCCTTAGCTCCTTCAACTTAGTCTTGGCAATGGCCAGTTCCCTCAGCGCACGCAGTGCTTGCGACCTCCTAATCAAGTAAGCCCTGAAGCTCATCTGAATAGCTAATGCTGCATCCTGTGGTGATATCTCCTTCCTCTTTCCCCTTCTCTTCTCCACCCTCTTCGCAAATACCTATACATCACAAAAAAATAAAAATAAAAACACAAATATGCATCAAAGAAAATGTAAAGAGCCCACATTGATCAACAAAATCTTAATACTCCATGTGTCCCAATATATGTGATGCACCTTAGTTTTTAGTCTGTCTCAAAAAAATGATACCTTTATATATTTAATAACAATTTGTTATAGCGACACAAATATCTTAGGGTTGTTTTCGATCACAGGTTTCAATTTTTCTTAAAATTTATGTCCACTCAAACAACATCACATACAATGAGCCGGAGACAGTAACCAGTAATAATAGTCAAAAGTTAACCTGTCTTAAGACGAGGGCCCCATGATCGGATGGCTCTTCAATCTCAACTATACGTGTAGAACCCTCAGATTTTTCACATTTCTTCTTTTTGTTATCTTTCTTCTCTTTTTTCTCACTCTCAGAATCATCACCGCCGGCATTTGATGCTTTGAAAGTGTAGGTACGTGAATCCTCATTCTTCCCTTTGATCTCAGCAGTAAATTTGTAACTTTTATCCAAAGCACCCTTCTTTTTACCATCTTTAACCTCAGCAATCCACTTGTACTTCCGATCAACCCCGTCCTTCTCGGGGCTCTTGATCTCAGCCGTCCACGTGTACTTCCTCTCACCAACTTTCTTGCTCTTCTTCTTCTTCTTCTCCTCAATGAACAGCCGCTCGAGTTCAGAGACTCGGTCAGACAGACTCTGCAACTCAGTACCGAGTCCGACCCGGCGATGAACCCGGCGAGTGGAGGTATAAAAAGGGGTTCTTTCGATTTGGATCAGATCAGTGATGGTATCAACGTCGTCAAAGGGGGAGGCGAGATCGAGAAGTGTAGTGGGTGTGAAAGTGTTAGGGCAAAGGAGATCGAGAGTGGTGTCAAGCTCATCTTCAATGTGGAATGAGGGGTTTAGAAGTAGGGTTTTGGGGCTGAGAAATGAGGATTCTTTAAGGAAGAAAGAAGGAGAAGGAGAGTACTCAATAAGGTCAAATCTCCTGAAACGGCTCATTTTTCGGTTGAATCTAGCAACACAAAGGAAAAAGGTGTAAGCTTTGAGAAAAAGAGTGATAAAGATGGAGGATAAAATATGCAGAGCTTGGTTTATTAGGAGAAAGAGATGGAGGGAGTCAAGAAGGGTACAGTAAGAGAGGAGGGGTAATATTGGAATTTGGTGGAGATTAGTGGGAAGCAAGTTGTTGAGTACTTTGTGGGGACGATTAGTTGATTCGTTAAAGCGGATAATATCGCCGCGCACGGATATTATATTTACGAAAATGTCCCTGAAAAGGTTAGGAATTTGCGCCGTACAAAAACATAGACTAAAGAATCTCTAGATTGCGACCAAGGCATGTGGGGTTTCAGACTTTTGGGGGCCACTAGCTGTTAAAGAGAACCCCGATTGACATTGAGACAAATTAAGTGGAGTATGCTTTAGACTTTGGAACTTTTGATTTTTGTTAACATCATAATATCCTAATACTGAACCGGCTGTCTTTGTTTCCGATGGGCTTTTATTTGCTTTAGTGTAGTAGGTGGCAAATAGGGTCGCACGTGGGATAGAGTTTGGAGTTTTGTCCTGTTCAATTAGCATATGATCATTTAAGAAATGGAGATTAGCGTTAATTAAATTAAATTGCGCCTATCTTCTGACATAGTGAAGGTATGATGGTCGCCCCAAACTAAGATCTATGTTAGTTGGTCCTGAGTTAATTGCAACCTTGATACTAGCTAACGAAATTAAAGGAAATCTAAGTATCCTAGAGAGCAAATGAAGAGAATTGCTTTTGAACATATGACTTAGCAAGAGAAATGATTTCGAGAATTTAGAGAGAAAATGAGAGATATTTCATTGAGAATCTAATACAATTGAATAAGCATTACAATTGTTGTGATTTCAGCATATAAGAGAGAAATTCAGTTGTAACTAACTTATAACAAACTATAACTAACTTCCGGAAATTTAACTATCTAACTAACTTATGCACACGTGCATCTCACGTGACTACTTATCAGCTCCCATTTTCTTATGATCGTAACAAACTTTTAAATGGATTTACTGTTCTAAGTTATTAGTATGGTTTTAACATCAGTTTGTCATACATCATCCCCTCCGTAGAGTGATTTTCTGCAAAAAGATGAGGCAGGAAAAGTGAAATATACGAGATTATAAGTATAAATTACTTGTGGCTAAGTATGAATAAAGATAAAAGCTTTGTAAAAATTCTATCTTCGTAATAAAAACCAACACCGCTAAATTGCGCTCGAACAATTAAAAAGCAAAATATTCCTTAATTAGGTGACCATCGTCCAAAAAATCATTCTAACTTTTTATATGTTATATGTTCTAATTCTGGTTTTTTCCTTACCCAGATAAATCAGAATTCAGAATTAAGATTATTGAATAATACTTTATCACATAATTTCATTTTTCTTTTTTTTTCTTTTACTTGTTGTATCAGGCAGAGGGAGAGTAAGAAAATGACTTAACTTCTAAATTAATTTTAAAATTAGTTTTTTTCCATCGAGATTAGTCCAAACTTTTGTTATTCAATCTGTATTACTATAAATAATGAAACAGTAAACTTTCTGAAACATAAAACAAACACAGAAAGTTAGCAGCAACAGAATGTCGAAATAATATTTGAAAAATAAATAAGTCGAGCCCACTGAATGCATATTGTGTCCTTAAGAAAATTATTCCCCTCAAGTATCCAAGGTGCTGGAATATTATTGTCCCAGAATTGAACGATTTAACTCACAAGAGTGTTGGTACCAAAAAAAGCCAATGAAACAACGAACCACTCGAAGGCTGTAAACCACACTGGAATTTTAATTGTGCAGAAGCCGAAGCCGAAGCCGATCCGAACGAGCGAGCGACGATGACGGCGCGAGGCATACTTTCTTTCCAACCCATTTAACACCAAGAGAAGTGCTTTCTCAATATAAGCACATTCACTTTTTTTTTCTACCACCAATGAGGGACACTTGCTCTTTCCAAAGCAAAAGGGAGCTCACTTTTCCTCCATTTTCTTCTCTCTATTTCCCATTCACCAATCTTTTAATCTTAACAATCCCCCACATGAATGGGAAATGGCTATAAGACAAAGGAATGCACAGACGAGTGTGTGATTTACATGCAAGAATTAATTGCATCTAGAAAAGTAGGTTTCTCTTGAACTTTTCGTAGTGAACTTATATCGGATATACTCGGTCAATCGGTAGATTTGATATCTTTGAATCATTGAGCTTTGTTGTATACCTAGACAACATAAGTCACACAATTAACTCTTAACCATCTATGGTTCTCACGGTTGTGAGCTATGAACACCACCTGGTTTCATGAGTGCTTAGAAAATGGGCCTTTACTTTCATTCCCCTTGAAACGGCTTACACTTCACACTCACATTGGTAATTTCTAAACGTGTAATCCTATGGACATATTATCTGGTCATTTCCTTCCAGACTTCGTAAATCATTAAAAAGCTTTAAGCTTTATTGATTCATCAAAAAGCCTTAATGTTTTACCCTAATTTCTCAACATTGTCTTCATCACGAGAATGAGTTGAGTTATTTGACAATGTTGAACCATCATTCATAACTTTGTTTAATCTCTTTGAACCTAGCTCTTGGGATGTCCAGTCTGCTAGGTAGAGTTACCGCCATGATGACTTGTCCTAGGCCATAACCTTATTCCCTTCGATGACCTTTCAACTGCCTCTCTAGATAGGCCTTTTGTAAGTGGATCTGACACGTTATCTCTTGACTTTACGTAGTCAATCGTGATAACACCACTAGAGAGTAGTTATCTAACGGTATTGTGTCTCTGTCGTATGTGACGAGATTTTTCGTTATACATAACGCTCCCTGCCCTGCCTATTGCCACTTGACTATCACAACGTATACATATAGGTGCCAAGGTTTGGGCCAAAATAGAATATCTTCCAAGAAATTCTGGAGTCTTTCAGCTTCTTCACCAGCCTTGTCTGAAGCTATAAATTCAAATTCCATTGTAAAAAAGACGATGCACGTTTGTTTGAATGATTTCCAAGATATATATCCACTCGTGGATTTAACGGAGTTTTTCTAATTAAAATGACATTATTCGAAATGGAATTATTTTATTTATTTTTCAGAGTCGCCACTTGGAATAGTTTATTTTTTGGTGTCCCAAATAACCGGTTTGTTTTTAAATCCCAAATCGAGGAAATTTTCGACTTTATTTAAAAGTCTGCGAATCAGAAATTCTAAGTAAGGAATTCTGTTAATCCGGAAGAAGGTGTTAGGCATTCCAGGGTTCCGTGGTTCTAGCACGGTCGCTTAGCGATTTATACTTGGCTTAAATTATTTAACTACTCATTTTAGGACCTATGTGCATTTATTCCTCTAACCGCTTTTAGTTGCTTAATTAATCGTAGTTTTGAAATTATCTTAAAAGGAGTCACGCGTACGTGTACTCATTTCATTTGGCACGTCAAGAATCATGTCACGCGTACGTATCTACAACTAATCACGCTTTATTAGTATTAAGAAAGTTTGGTAGAAGTTGCGCGAACGCATACCTCGATTTTGTTATTAGGATCATAATCATGTCACACGAACATGTACACAATCCCGATGAACGCATACAATAATCAGTTAAAAGTCCACAAACAAAGTGCTCAGACAAAACATTGAATGCATGACTAAAAGCAGGAAGCAAGTTAAGATAACTATAACTTGTGAATAACATGGTTATCAAATTTCAACTTTTCAACAATCTCAAATTGTGAGTAACACGGGCTTAGATCAACATCTAACAAAAATACTTGTATATCTATGTTGCCTAAAAGAATCAAAATCCAGTACAATTACAAAAATGTGCAACCAACGTAGCTAATTGCTTGTGATTTTAGTTCATAGCAAAAGAAGGGCCTTCCTTATAAAGGTAGACTAAAAGACAAGTTACTTCCCATAACTTGACATTTAAACTGTAATTAATTAATCAATCAACCAGGCCTCAATCCCAAAACTAACTGAGGTCTTCTATACAAGTCCTCTGTATTTATCCAGCTCTATTCACGCCGACATATAAACTGACGCTAATTATATATTAAGTTGCCAAATATTAATAAATGCAATATGTTAACCAATTACCATAACCAATCACATTGAAGTATCGCTTCATTTATTAGACAAATGTTCATTGTGAAGAGCTAATATTTTCAAGAACTGACCATGACCTCAATACAAAGGTGCCTATTATTACATTTAAAAGCACATAATATTCAAAGACTTATCCTTGGAGAAAGGTGCCTAAAAATTCACAAAATCTTTAGCACATAAACTTTATATATTTAAACAATAAGCGAATCTTTTTAATGCATCGGAAATAGGTATTTCCAATGAACCACTTCAAATATTTAATGTCAAGACACGGATGAAGAAGAACAATAATCTTTCACCTTCAATATATGTACTCTACATAAACTAAACAGTAATTCATCACCTAATTTTCAAATTGAAATAAAAGTAGCAGAAGAAGAAAATACTTTAAACATCATAGATTGAACAAACATTTTAAAACATTCAAACCATTCAGCCAATGACATTTATTAGCCTATATTTATTCAGCAAATCAGTTAACAGTTACACATGAGCTCAGAACATACCTAAGCTAGTTTTGCGAGAATAGATAGAAGACGCCAAATAAAAGCTGGAGGAAAGGGATTTTGAGATTAGCAAGAAAAACCAGTCAACAAAAGCAGCGATGAACATCATTCGAACTTAAAATGGCTTTCTAGAATCCCCAGAAAATATGCATCAATGAAGAGGAATCAGCAACTGTTTTCTTTTAAGGACTTTTCTTTTGTTTTTGTTGTTTTTCAAAGTCGTCGCTAGGGTTGGGGTGTATGTGTGTGTGTTTTGGAGTAAATGAAGAAAAAGCCTTGGGAAGGGAAGGTGTTGTGCGCCGTTGGTTTCTTGGAAAAGCAGGGTCTATTCTTGATTTTTTTGATGGAAATGGAGGAGAAGCTTTTTTAACTCCCAAATGCGTCGTTTCTTGCTCTTTGGAAAGGAGGTCAAAATCTCATCTTCTTTTTTTTCTAAGTCTAGGTTTTCTAATGTGTATCAGATGAAGGCAAGGGGGATGGGCTTGGGTATTTTGGGCTGTTTTGTGGGGAATTTGGGTCTTAATTAATTGGGCCATTTGAGGAATTGGCCTA